TTTCTTTCTTTCTTTCATGTTCTACATTCCACATATGAGATCATAGAGTATTTGTCTTTCTCTACCTGACTTATCTCACGTGGCATAATGCCCTGAAGTTCCATCCAGGTTGCAAATGGCAAGATTTCCTTCTTTTTATGGCTGAATAATATTCCTTGGTATATATAGACTGCATCTTCTTTATCAACATTTTAGGGTGGATATGTGTTGTTTCCATGTCTTGCCTATTGTAAATAATTCTACAATGAACATGGGGGTGCTGATACCCTCTCAAGATAGTGACTTTGTTTCCTTTGGATAAATACCTGGTGGAATTGCTGCATCCAATGGGATGTTTCCTACTTATCTGTCTGATGGGAAACAGCCGATGCATTGAGTCCACTCTGGATGGAGGCCCCTCCTCAGACGGAGGAGGTCAAGTATGAGAAGATAAGAGTTTTCTGTAGCCAAGACCATTATGGCTGGAGGGCCCCTCTTTTTCCCTTCTCTGTCCACTTGCTTTTATAAAACACTGAGTATCTGCCATGCACAGAGTACCTTAGAGAAAAATGAAACATGGCCTTGCCCTCTGGGAGCTTCAAGGGCAGGTGGTGGAGAGAGCAGGGAGGGGTGAGGTGGTGAAAGAGAATGTCAAAAGGTAGGCAGAGCCTGGAAGGGCCTGGAGAGCTTGATAAAAAATTGATTTTTTTTATCCTTGGAGGAGGAAGGGAGGTGGGCAGGTAGGGAGGAGCTTCATGGAGTTGAACCTTATCTCTGGCTGGGTTTCCTTTTGTTTTTTTCTTTTACGATAACTTAAAATCCTTGAAATTGGTGAAGCCATCAGTAGTATACATTCAGATTCTCTAACAGAAATAGGTGATTGGCAGCTCCCCTCAAAAATATTTTGGATCTTGTCATGTTAAAATCTGGATATTTGGAGAGAAAGTTTTGAATTCATATGAATAGGATTTCCATAAACTCATCTCTGGTTTCAGTCTAATCGCTAGTCTTCTAATACCAGCCCTGCTGGTTAGGATCCCAAAGAGCTTTATTTATGTGGATTATATTCATTGATATTTACTGCACTAGGGCTAAAATTTTAAAAAAAGTAAAACATCAAAAAAATTTTATTTTTGGGGAGAGGTAGGTAATTATTTTATTTTATTTTAAATTTTTTTTAAATAGAGGTAATGGGGATTGAACCCAGGACCTCGTGCATGCCAAGCACACACTCTACCATTGAGCTATATCCTCTGCCCCTTTTTATTTATTAATTCATTTAAAAATTCATTTAAAAATTCATTTAAAAATTCACTCTAATATTACATGTTAACTTTTTTTAAATGAAAAATCAGTGTCTTTTCCAAGACAAAAACTTTTGTGAGAAAGTGATGTTGTTTGCAAATTTCTTCAATGTGTGGCATGGCTTAATGGAAGACTGACTTCACATGTCTATTCTGCCTTGAATCTGTTGAGAATCATTGTTCTCATTGAAGTATATAAAGTTAATTCAGCCTTGCACAGATATGCAAAGGAAAAGGGAGGAGTGTCTTAATAGTCTTTTCAAATAATGGTGGATATTTGATTTACACGGACACTTAACAAGCTTGGAGACTCTTGCTTTTGTGAAACAGGTAACAAATGATTTTGTTTCCAAGTTGATGTTGGTTCTATGTTTTAGATAGTACCTTAAAAAATCAATTCATACCAGTGAGTTTGTTAGTGGCTGACTGGTTAACTCTGAAACTGGACACTCATACATTTGTAGCCATAACCAGTTAGATAAGGGGCAGTCAGGTGTGTGCCAGCAGTCTTTGCTCAGCAGTTTCCTTCTAGATACTATATTAAAGATGCAGTCAAAAACAACATGTACTTATGAGAGTACTTACTGTCTGTCTGACCATTGATCACGGGGACTGATTGATTGATTCAGCCGACCAGCCAGTTGAGCGTTTCTCCTGGATTCCATCTTCTGGCAACAGTACGCAAGTGGCTCGGGCCCTTGCCTTGTAGAATTTCCAGGGAGGCTTTCCTAACACTCCTACAGGAAATAATAATCCAGAAAAAAAAAATCTACCCACAAATCTACCATCTCAGCAAAAACTGCCTTAATTTTTCTGTTTTCATACTTAGCAATATTTTTACATAACTTTATATCCATAATATACATTATAGTTTTCCACTTTTTCATTTACTGTCATGTTGTAAAGCATTTCTCAGACATTGCATTCTTCTCTAAAGTACTTCTTATGGCAGCATCATTTTTAATGGACTCATTAAAGGATAGAGCAGTTGGTTAAGAAATGAGGATTTCATTTTTCCCCCCAAACTTGTGCTACCTATAGTCAGTTTTCAAAATTCAGGGTAGTGATTGTTTCTGAGAGGGGAAGGGAGAGAGATGGGATGCAGTTGAAGCTGGGTGATGAGTGTGTGGATCATTATGCAGTTCTCTCTACTCAAAATGCTTGCAAAATGTTGAATATTCAATCTTGTCTGATATTAATGTGCTTTTTGGGGGGAAAGATGGGATCTAACATTTGCATGAATATCTTTGTATGTTTTTTTGTTTGTTTAATCTCTTTGGTAAGGGTGTCTCAGATTTTTTTTTTAAAAAAACTAGCACGATAATGTATCTTTTAAGAGATAACCTTAATCCATTTTCATTTATTGTGATTACTGGTTTAATGGCTCTGTGTTATACCATTCCTTTGCTTTTTTTCTCCCTTTCCTGCTTTTCTGTAATACCTTCCAATCTTTTTTCCTCTTCTCTTGGTTTAAAAACAATAGATGATAGTTACGCTTAACATCTCAGGATCCATGGTTAGTAAATTTTTCCCATGAAGTCTGCTGCTGGTTCCATGGTCATTCCTTTGTGGATTACATGTCTTTTTTTTCCCTGATAGCCTTTAAGGTTTTGTCTTTGTTCTATAGTTTCACTGCAATGTGTTTAGGTATGGATTTATTTTTAATTGTTTTTATTAAAGAATTGATATAGTCGATTTGATACAGGATTTTTAGTAAATACATGTGAGGTACAAGAATAATAGCATAGCGAATACCAAGTGTCACCACCCTGTACAAGATGAAAGGTGACCACAAGTGATGCTCTTAAAGCCCTCTGTGTACCCCTCCCCACCCCTTCCCTTCCCTTCCTCCCCACTCCCATCTTGGAGAAAATCACTGTCCTAAACGTCATATTTTTCTTTTCCTTGGTTCTTCTTAATTTTATCACATATTTAGTCTTCTAAATAGCATATGGTGTAGCTTCTTTGCACATTTCAAAGCTTTATGTAAATGAGCCATACTGTTTATTCTTTTGCAAATTGCTGTTTTCTTACATTATTTTATTTTTTAAGATGCCATATTGTTTTATGTTTCTGAAATTAATTCATTTTCACCGCTGGGTAGTGTTTCTTTCACTGAATGTACCACACTTTATCCATTCTATTGTTGATGGTTATTTGTTTAAATGAGAAATGAGCTTTCATATTTTTAAGTTATTTGCTAAATCTCAGTAGTGCATTCACAAGTTGTGTCCAGTAGAGAGCTGATCTTCACTTACTGGATTTTGAATTTCAGTACCTATGTTTGACATTTTTAAGATTTCTAGATACTTCTTTTAAAATATTTCCTGTTCTTTCACTTTAGGACATGTTTGATTAGTAATTTCTTGTTTTTTATTTTAGTGGAAGTAATGCCTTCATTTATCTCTTTGGACATTCAAAAAAACCCCTTTAACCCTTTTTCAGACTAATCTATAAAAATAATTTCAACCATTGATTTTGTGTTCTGATTATTGATTTTGTTGGTGATTTTTTCCTGTCACTAGATTTATTCCTGAATCATTACAGTGTTGGGGCAGAAGGAATTCTCAACGTGTAAATTCACTCCAGCGTCCCCGTTCAGTGTTTAAAATGGGGAGAAGACCTGTGATTTGCCAAAATGCCTTGACTTCCTGATGACACTCACTTCCATTCTCCCAGAGTGTGTTCCGGTTCTCCCCATTTGGTGATGGACTCCTGAGATTGTGTGACTGTGGCTCTAACTACAATCTACAATCGTGTTGAGTTTGACGGAAGAGACCTCTGGACTTGAGGCCACCTTCTCATGCACTGACTACCTCTTGAGGAGTTAGTTATCTGTTGTGGTTAATGCACAGTAAACATCCTAGCAATTTCTGCCTGGCTTAATTTCTTTTTCCCTCCTGCACAGACCACTCTAGAAAAACTGGAAGGAGAATTACAGGAAGCCAATCAGAACTATCAGGCTTTGAAGAAAAGCTTCCTAGAACTGACCGAACTCAAATATCTCCTGAAGAAAACCCAGGACTTCTTTGAGGTCGTAACTTGGGAACTGTTCATTCAAGGGCCCTTTCCGCTAGATCCTCAAATTTCTGTTTGGAAAACTGACTAGTTTAGAATATGAATACATTGCACTGTTTCTGTCCCGTGGTCACGCCATGGGTGAGGGGAGGTAATGGGGTAGAATGTGGCACTGGGTGAATTGAGTGCAAAAATATTGAGCTGCTTACTAAATAGTGTGCGCCCAAAATGGCCCAGACAGGCGTGGAAGTCAGAACAGAGCACAACGCTTAGTTTGAGCAGATCTGTGATTTTGGTAGGAAGAAAATGGGGAGGCTTTTTGTTCTGACAAGGAGCATCCTACCGTTTGGATTCTATGTACTTGTGGAAAATTAAAGCATCCTTAAAAACAGACAAAACTGTGAAGTGTGGGTGCTTTTAAGTTTGTCTCAAATCACTTAAATGATAATAGTGATTCTTTGACTTTCAGACGGAAACCAATCTAGCTGATGATTTCTTTATGGAAGACACTTCCGGTCTCCTGGAGTTAAGACCTACGCCTGCATACATGAGCGGAAAGCTGGGGTTAGTGACACTCCGTGCTCTGAAAGTTACATGTAGACGGGTCCCTGGTCCGTATATAGCCCGATGCCTGGTGTGTGGCGGAGTTCCCTGAGTGAATGAATGAATGAATGAATGCACAAATAGCAGCTGGCATGAAGACTATTTCACACGACTATAAGCCCTCCATCCAGTAATAAGCCCGGGTCTAACCTAACGAGGTCAGTGGAGTTACAGGTAGTGCTACCTTGTTATTGGTGATACTGACATTCTGGAGCCTGAAGAGTGCAGTGTCTGTATCATATCCACACGGGAAGGATGTAACAATAATTATTTAGATGGAATTTCTCAGCTGTTCCCTGGCTTTGGAACAAGGCTATGGGATACACGTCTTTTTTTTTCCTCTCCTTGCCTCTGAAATACTGTTGTAATAATGAAATAGATTTGGAGTGTGAAGTTTGAAGTGTAATTAGAAATGAGATAGTTATGCAATCATGTCTTCCGTAAGCAGCGGCAATGTGATGTGGTGACACCCACCCGAATGTGTGGTGATTCAAAATGGCGCGATTTCATTTAGTGTCCAAACAAAACTGATAAAAGTAATGGGTTTTGGAATACTAGTTTTTTATTCTGTAGATACTTGGGGGCCTGCTATTTGAGGCACTAGACATTGAATTTGAAATGGAAAGGAAAATACGTGTTGGAAATATTTGATCAGAGGGTAATACAAGATCCATGGATGTTTAAAGTAATAGGCCAATGAAAGTAACCATTTTAAAGTTAATAAGAAAATTTTGGGTCAGAAACTGTCTAGATACCTAGATGATTGTAAAAGTAAAGATGGAGAGAAACCAGTATATATCCTTCATGCTTAGTACCTTATTTGTACAAATGCAGACAGACCATTGGCGGGCAGATTGAACATTTGCTTCTTTTAGCTACAACGCTATAATGAATGGTCTATCATATTTTTAATTGCAAATAAGCGAATGTATAGTATTGAGATGATTAAGCAAACCTCCACATGTCAAAGGGAACTTGGGGGAAGTTGGGGCTGGGACGCAGAGTGGCCTTGTGACCCCTGCCAGGTGGGCTGTGTTGTTGCTTCTGCTTAGAGGACGGTGGGCTTCCCCCTCGGGCTGCCCATCTTCACAGCCCACAGGGCCTGCAGCCGGCGCCACACTCCCTGTGCCTCAGTGGCGTCTCCTCTTGTGACTGCCCAGGTTCACAGCTGGTGTGATCAACAGGGAGAGGATGGCTTCCTTTGAGAGGCTGCTGTGGCGAGTTTGCCGGGGAAACATCTACCTGAAGTTCACTGAGATGGACACGATTCTGGAAGATCCGGTCACAGTGGGTATCAGGCTGTGGAAAACGTTCTCTTCAACTTCCTGGAGCCCTCACCAGAGGGTTCTGTTCTCTCAAACACTGTGTCTTTAGCTCTATGAAGCGAGTGTCTATTTCCTTTTATTCTCCTTTCCTTTCTCCCCATCCCTCCTTAAAAAAAAAAAAACCTATGAAATGTCAACTCAAGGACTAATCCTTTTTAAAAAATATTTTTTCCTTTTTTGAAGAGGGAGGTATTAGGTTTTATTCATTTATTTATTTTATTTTTTAGAGGAGGTACTGGGGACTGAACCCAGGACCTCGTGCTCTACCACTTGAGCTGTACCCTCCCCTCCAAGCACTGATTCTTGTTACCACCTCAAAAGTGTTCATTCCTCCAAATAACGTGGCTAATCCAGTTCCTAGAAGCTTAGCTGTGCTGGTGCCTCCCAGGGTGGCAGCTGTGTCTAATTCACAGAGCACTGAGAACTGATTCAGGTCAGTGTGCCCCACACAAGCTCCACTGTGCACGTGTGCATGTGTGCATGTAAGTGTGCAGTGTGCATGTAAGAGCCTGTTAGATGCGGATTCTGACTCAGTGGGTCTGCGTGGTGGGGCCCTGGAGTCCACATTCCTAACAGGCTGGCAGTGGCTGGTGGTCCACAGACCACACACTTCGAGCGAAGATTTGGAGGGGCCTCTTCACTGAGTTACACACAGTTATTGCTACTAATTCCATAGGATTCACGTCCTCCACCCTTCTGGTTAGTATTTAAATCCACTTACTTTTTAATTCCAAGAAGCTGGGTTTATCTCTCAAAGAGGCATAATCTTTTGAGAAGAGAGGCTAAAAAGTTAAGTTTTATTTCATGGAAAACAACTGCATAGTTAAAGCAAATAAAATATAAAACAAGAAAAAAGCTTATTTAACCCCCCCCCCCAAAATTCACCATTCTAATGTCTTTGTTTTTATTTTTTCTTGTGCTGTTTTTCTCTAGTCCATAGCCACAGGCAGGTATAATTAATTTAATATGGTTGTAGTAATAACATGGAATCATCTTTTTGCCTTCTCTTGATTTTAGGTAAGTATATAAATTTCCTTCCATATTACTATCTGTCCTTTAAAATTTGACATTGAATCATTACCTTTCATAGGCATGTTTTGACACCTAGTAGTCATGGTGATAGAGAAATTATAAAGTAAGCACCTGGAAAAAGATGAGTTTAGCTGCATGACATTGAAGGTCACTGAAGATGACAGGCGATCAGAATGGATTCCTGGTTCTGGTGGATCAAGAGACAGAAAGACCTGAGAGATTCAGAGAAGGGCTGGGGGTGAACCCCACGCATGAGGGAACCTTTGGCAATAATGTAAAGCAGGCAGCTCCCCAAAGCTTAAAATGCCCTTCCCTGCTCCCACGAGCAACTGCCAAAGACAGGATTCATTCTGATTTTATTTGCAACTGATGCCTGATATTTCCATTGAGTTGATGTGACATTAACTGTCTATTTTGAGACACTTTAATATTTCCAATTTTCCTGAAGAATATAGACACTATGATAAGCATGGTCAAGCATGTGGGTTTTTATTTTCTTTTGAACGGCTTCCACAATGTGAATTCAAGGAAGCAGGATCGCCGGCTTAAAGGGGGTGGGCATTTTCATAACCCTTGATGGGTCCTGACAAATGGCTTTTCCGTAGGGTCATACCTGAGTCCAGTGATACCTGATACATGAATGGTGTGTGATGAGTGTGTTGGATTTATCACTTTTCCAACAATGGGTTTCATAATTTTACCTTTACCTCCCACCCCAAAGTAAATAAGAGTAAAAGAGCCTATCTCTTTGCTGCAGTAAAAGTTGAACTTTTTTATATACGCTTGTGGAATGCTTATTCTCCCTTTTCTGTGAAATGCCAAACCTGGACTTTAAAATTACACTTAATCAGTGTTCTTGTGGGCATACAGCGAGTGTGTGTCAAACATTTAGACCCGGCTCTACCTTTGTTAAATATCAAACACCCACTCACCCCTGAAATATGGATGTTGTGCATGAGTTCACTCTATTTTATTTGTTTTATCTTAAGCAATATCCTGGTCCCTCTCTTCTGGATGTTTTTTTTTGTTTATTAACACGTCTTTTAAGTATAGGACTTAGCACTGAATACAAGGCTCAGCTGTGATCCAACTAGTGTAGCAGATGGCGAGGCTGTCGCTTTACAGCTGTATCAGCCTCCCTGAGGGTCCCGTCCCGCCTGCCTCAGTGGCCTTGCCCTCAACCGCAGTGATTTATGAACTTGAATCAACTGGGAGAAGCTGAAGTGTTCCCATTTTAAATTTAAACAAGTTTTTACATTTCTGAAAATCTATTTTTTACTGGTCTGATTTTCCAGAGAGAAGATATTAAAAAGAATATATTCATCATATTTTATCAAGGAGAGCAGCTCAGGCAGAAGATCAGGAAGATCTGTGATGGGTAAGATCGCCAGCGGTTTGGGTCAGGATTCGGTCGGGGGGTGTGCAGCACAAAATACTCTCGACTGGGGCTTCCTTGAGGTCCCTTAGGGTTTTTGAATAACTTCCCCACATTTGACAAGATAGTGTTAAAAATGCAACTGATTTTTAGTAACTGCAGGAATAGGAACAGAGAGGACTTGATAAGCAGAAGCTAAAGGTAACTAAAAGACATTGTCACCATTTCAGTTTATTCCTTCTTACCCGCCTTGATTGGTTTCTACAGAGTAGGCCAATGCCTGCTAAGCGGTTGCTATGTTACAGAATCGTCTTATATGCAGCCTCTTAGAAGCAGAAATTCAATGGAGAAGGACATTAATTAATAAATTCTAGGGAGAAGAAGAGATAAATCAAGCTCATTGGAGTCTTATTTACATAACAGTTCCTGGGTTTTATGGTTTGAGCAAGATTCACTCGTATGATAGAACCACAGCTTTAATTCAAATAGTGCGAGCAATGTGTTGGGAACCTTATGACCCAGACATTTTCCGACTGCCGAGGAGACGGTTATTTTAGGGGAAGGCGGCGATCTAACCCAAGTCGGCAGATGACGGCTTAGCAGAGGAGGAGGACGTGCTGGAGGCTTTTCAGCAATAACCCAAGTGTGTCCTTTGGAATGTATGAAACACAGGTTTCGAGCCACCATATACCCCTGTCCAGAGCCGGCGGCGGAGCGCAGAGAGATGCTGGCAGGTGTCAACATGAGGCTGGAAGATTTAGTCACCGTGAGTGTCGGTTTGGGCACGTGACCGGAGCTGGGGGCTGCTGTTGGGAGTCACCTGCCATTTTATTTAGGGGTGGGGGAGGTAATGAGGTTTTTAAAAATTAATTAATTAACTAATTAATGTATTTCATGGAGGTCCTGGGGATTGAACCGACGACTTCATGCATGCTAAGCACAGCACTCTACCATGAGCTATACCTTCCCCCCTGCCATTTCCTTTTAAGTCCTGTATCCCTCAGTTCTGGCTCCAAGGCTGGCTGGAATGTTTGCTATGCCCTTCTGGCTCCTCTGTGGGTTTCATAATTAGGCAACAGTGTTCAGTAAGCTTGCGGTGATGATTCTGCATGTCAGTGATGCTTTGCCTGGGCTTAGAATTAGCCAGAGCCTTCAGGTACCCACCCCGGTCTGATGAAAGGAGCCTTTTGTTGCCAGACTGGCCGAGGCTGCATCTGTGATATGACTAACTAGCCAATTAAGTCAAAGAGCCAACTTGCTGATTCTTTTTCCAGTGAATTGCCCAGTTGTGTTAGCCAACAAAAGAATTCTGTCAAGACAGTGGCTCTGGTTTCAATATGAACACACTGTCAATTTACATCCTCTTGTAAAACCTGTCGTCACCTAGGATGGCCCTTAACACATGTGACTTTCTTCAGTAAGCTTTGCAAATAACCAGTCACCAAAAGCAGCTGGGCCTATGGCAGGTTGTGGGTTCTAGGTCAGGGCTGCCCGACAGAACTTTCTGTGGTGGCGGCGATGTTGTGTAATCTGCAAGTCCAGCATGATAGCCACTGAGCACTTGAAATACGGCTGGAGCAATGGAGGAACTGGAGTTTAATTTTTACTTCGTGTGGCTGCTGGATTGGTCAGCTCAGTTCCAGACCCTCAGTGAGTGTCTCTAGGAATCAGGCGTGTGTGTGTGTGTGTGTGTGGTTTCAGAACTAACAGATATCTTTATCTTCCAGAGAAAAATCTGTGTTTCATTTCTTTGATCCTCTCTGTTCCCTCTTTGTCACTTGTCAAGGAGACTGTGTTTCTCTGAAGCAATTACCCTTGAAGCCCTTTTCCCCAAATACTCTGCTAGATTTTTAATCAAACTTCAGGAGGAGAATGGAAAAGAAGTTACGCTAAACTTATGCTTATGTTCCAGATGACTTGGGTAGCCACGTGTAAAGGTTACTGATAAGGGTTACTCTACTGTATCACCAGAACAGAAACGAATTCCATTAACTAAATTCTGTGTGGGCCCAATTGCCTATTCAGCCTTCCATTTATTGACTCATTTGTCATTTGTTGGCGAGATGATATATAAGGCGTTTTGACAGGTGTGTTAGTTTCCTAGGGGCTGCTGTAACAGATGACCACAAACTGGGGGGCTTAAAATGACAGAAATTGATTCCGTCAGAGTCCTGAGGTGGAAAGTCCGAAATCAAGGTATCAGCAGAGCCAGGCTTCCTCTGCAGGCACTAGGAAAGAATCCTCCCCTGCCTGTTCTGCTGTGCTTTGAATGTTTGTGTCGCCCCCAGATTTGTGAGTTGGAAACCTAATGCCCAAGGTGATGGTGTCAGGAGGTGGAGCCTTTTGGGGAGGTGATTAGGTCATGAGGGTAGAGTCCTCATGGATGGGATTGGTGCTCTTATAAAGGAGACCCCAGAGAGCTCCCCAGCCTCTTCCGCCAAGGGAAGATAGAATGATGATTGAGTTTGCAACCCGGAAGATGGCCCTCATCCAACCATGCTGCCACTCTGGTCTGACTCCCAGCCTTCATCCATGAGAGACAGATGTTTATTGTTTATAAGCCACCCAGTCTATGGCCAGTCTATATGGTCTTTTATTAGAGCAGCCAGAATAGACTAAGACATCATCCTGGCCTCAGGTGGTTGGCAGCAGTCCCTGGCGTTCCCTGGGTTGTAGATGCACCTCTCCAGTTTCTGCCTCCTCCATCACGCAGGGCGTTCTTCCCTGTGTGCCTCAGTGTCCAAATTTCTTCTAAGAACACCTGTCATACTGGAGTTGGGCAGGCCTCATTTTCACTTGATTTCCTCTGGAAAGACCTTATTTCCAAATAAGATCACATTCACTGTTACCAGGAGTTAGGACTTCAGCTTACCTTTTGAGGGGACAGAGTTCAGCATGTTACAGTTAGAGTACTATAGGGAGTTGAGAAGAAAAGAAAGATACAACCTTGCCTGCAGGTTTTAACCTCTAGCAGGGGAGATACACTGCTCATGAGCATTAACAGCCAGGTGAGAGCTGTGGGCCTGGGGAGGGAGCCAAGAGCAGAGGAAGCCCTGGTGCCTGAGGAGCCTCCAGTGTTGCCATGCCGTCAGCCATCTCCATGAGTGTTCCTTGTCTGGCTGTGCACTTCTGCCCAGGTCATCACGCAAACAGAGTCTCACCGTCAGCGCCTCCTGCAAGAAGCAGCCGCCAGCTGGCACTCCTGGGTCATCAAAGTGCAGAAGGTGAAGGCCGTCTACCACATCCTGAACATGTGCAACATTGACGTCACCCAGCAGTGTGTCATCGCTGAGATCTGGTTCCCTGTGGCAGATGCCCTGCGCATCAAGAAGGCGCTGGAGCAAGGCATGGTGAGTGGCTGGTGGGGCAGGGTGTGGACAGGTAGTCACGTCCAGCCTCAGCAGCCCCTCTGCTAGGTGCTCGGAGGCCCTCAGCCTCCTGTGAACATCACCTGGTAGGACTGTCTCCTTTAAGGACCTCCAGTCCTTACCCAGCGCTTGGGCACGTGTCCGAAGCTCCTCCTTATTTGACAAATAGGCAACATTTCTTTGATCTTAGCGAGTGTGCACTGAGCATTGATGTGCTGTCACCTTGCTAGTTGTGTCTGGGGGTATCAGCCTTTACCGTGTGGAGGTCAAGGTCTCAGTCTGGCTGGAAAGACAGATAAGCAGGCACCCGCAGTAACGGCCAGAGCACAGGGAGGAGACCACAGGCACATCCCTCACAGCGCTCCTGAGTCATCTCTCTGGATGCTCACTGATCTACAGCTGTGCTGGTGGAACAAGGCCCTGCTCCCGTAGACTTTCTGGAAAGGGAGACACAGCAAGCTTGTCCATAATTAATGTGGTTTCAGGCAGTGAGTGATGTGTGGTGGACAGGAAGTGAAGTGGGGGGATGGTGAAGGAGGGGGTGTGAAGTGGGGGCCCTGTCCAATCACCTATTCACCCCGTTGGTGAAGAAGGGAAACTTTACCCTAAATAGTACAAGATGGCCAAGCGCACGACACCTGACACTGGACAGGTGGGCTTGGCCGCAGTCTGTTAGTCACACATACTCACAGCCCAGGGGAGGACAGCACACGTCACACAGGGCCACATGGAGATCCACTTGGGACCTGCTCTTGCAAGCAGAATGAACCAGCAGGGGCTGTGGGAGGCAGGCTTTATAGTGACGAGAGGGTAGAGGACCCCTGGCTTCCATGGGAGGATGTGATTATCTTGTTTGAGTGATTTTCTGGGGCGGCAGGGAGGTGAAACTCATTAGAATGGAGGCTGGGCAGTGTGCCGTTGATCTGGCTGAAGGGAGAACTAGCTGGGTGGGGAGCCTTTCCTGCTGGGTGGGTGGCGTATCTGGTGAGAGCAGAGGAGCTCATGGCTTGACCTGTGGGGCCCTGAAGGTTTGGGTCTTTACAGTATGGTTATAGGGCTGCTGGGGAGAAGGCCCCTCTGGGCAGGCAGCACTGGAGTAGACTTTCCTAAAGGTCACGGGAGGATTGGGGCGGGGTGAGAAGAAGAGCTTTCAGGCTGAAAGTTCTGAAGGTAGAGGCCTTGAGGTGGGGTTGGACTAGGAGACAGGCTCTGTCTTTATCCCCTTTGTACAGATGAGGAAACTGAGGCCCAGAAAGTAACAGTAACTTGACCACAGTTCTATAGCCAGGGGGCAGGATTCGAATGTCCCCACATTATGGGCTAGTCACTGCCCAAATGGAGAACTTACAGAGAGTTATTCACCCAGACTGGGAAGGGCTGCATGCTTCCTGGAGGAGTGCATGAGCTGAACGTGGATGGGCGGTCAGTGAGCAGTTGGAGAAGGGTAGGGGGAGCACACGATGGAGGCCCACCTAAGGGCAGCGGCTGGAGGGAGGGGGCGGCAAGTTTAGACTGGGAAGGAGGTCCGGGAGAGGCTGCGGGCCTGTCCTGATGGACAGATGACTATATAGTGGTATGTCTCCCCATGCTGGACTGACACGATCCAGTTTGCATTTTAGAAGGACTTCACTGCAGTGTGGGTAAGACAGCATGGCTATTGGGGTGGTGTTGTCCTAACTCAGGGTTCTGAACCGAACGGTGTCATCCTGTAATCATGAAGGGGTCAGACATCTGCAGGACCACTTAGGATGATTTCTCTAGCGTCTTCAGTCCTCTGAGATAATTAAAATGTTTCCCCAGCTAGGAGTAGAGGCCCTGTGTGTGTAGGAGATGTGGAGAGAAATGGAAGCGGATAGCTGTCATGATCAGCATTACCAATAAGCGAAAAATCCTCTCTGCCAGGCATTATGTCAGCTGCTGGAGGGCGTGATTAAAAAGGAGGAAGTCCTTGCCCTCAAGGAGATCATGATCACACATACGAAAAGGTATATAAAAATAGAGGGTGGGTCTCCTCCACTTGCTGTGTGACCTTGGGGAAGTTACTTAATCTCTCTGTGCCTTAGTTACCTCATCTGTAAAGTGAGGTTTGTGGTGATGCTGTCTCATTGAGTTGTTAGGAGGATCAAATGGGCACTCATTTAGTTGGTGCTAAGTCCCACTGAGTGTGCAGTTTGTAAGTGCTGTTGGAGTTCGGAGTGACCAGAAGGTTCCCAGGGGGTGAGCTGGAAAATTGTTAATACTTGGGTAAGTGAAGAAGGGAGAAGGCTAGTGTGGAGTTGGCTGATTTCCGTGGAGAACTAGTGAGGGTGAAGGTGTAATTAGAGGATTTACATCCTGTTGTAAAGAAGCTTGATTATAAAACTAAAGAGTTTTGATTTCATCCTTTAGATAATAGGAAGCCTTTGAAGATTTTTGAGTAGGAGGGAAATTGAGTAAAGTAGTGTTTTTTGTTTGTTTTGTTTTATTACAAGAAGGATTACGCAGTCTGGGGTATACACTAAATGGAAGGGGAAGAGACTGGAGTCCGATGGTGAGGCTTGGGGCCAGGCCGGTGGCTCTGAGGCTAGATGAGAAGGGATTTGAAGGGGACGATTAGCAAGATTTGGTGATGGACTGAAGCAAGAGAAGGGACAGATGTGATGATTCCAAAGTTTCAGGCACCTGGAGACTGGAGATTGCTCAAGGAGCAGAGAGGTCAAGGGAGGGCCTGGCTTTGGGACAAGTTGATGAGTTTAGTCTAAGGTTCCTGGATTTTGTGGGGTTGCTGAGACATGTGCATTAGAAAGCATAGGCAGGCAGTTAAGAAAGAATTAAAATTTGGGCGAGGGTCAGGGCTGTTTGGAAAATAGGAACAACATTAGGAAAGTGAATGAATTCGTGAGAGTTAGTGGGAAGAAAGGAAAGGGAAGGAAGGAAGAAAGAAAAAGAAAGAGAAAGAAAGAAAGAAAGGAAGGAAGGAAGGA